TTCTTCGTCACACTAGCGATGTAAATAATTGTTGTAAAGAATCGCTGCGCGCGTGAATAAGTCGAATGCTTACTGAAGTGAGAAATAAATTTACCAATATGGAAAACGATAGAAATGTTCATAATGAAATCACATATGCTAATAGAGTAGAAAATGTATTTATTGATGCTGGGCAAGACAAAACAATATGTTTATCGATCTCAAAAAAGATATAATGGGCTGAAAATTTGTAGTTAAATACAAACTACAACTGGCTGAAAAAGTGGAAAATTCTAAATTTTCTGAAAAAGTAGAGATTATTAAAAAAAAATTGCGAAATTTGACAGTAAACTTTATTTATAATCTCTGTAGAGTATACAGAATGTGTAAAATGTGCAGAACCATCGCAGCGCTCGCAATGCATCGCACCATGTGTGATGTGATCATGCATTGTCTCTTGCGCCAAAAATTCCAAAAAGACATTTCCTCCACTCCGATGATGACGACGTTTCTTACATTATTAACATTACATTAAAAGTTTCAGATTTTGCATCGCAATATCTCCGCTCGTAGAATATGTAGAGAAAAAATAAAAGCACGTACTATACAACCAGAGTGTATGCTATCGATTAAGAACATAGAACGGGATCGGTTCTGCTCTTATTGAGATATGATAATCTCGGTCCCCTGCAATTCGCCGGCTCGCGTAAAGTAGCAACGACAGTGTCGCTACGCTTGGCTTACCGCCGAGACACTACCGCGTCTCCAAATTAACTTTAATCTCGGTTCAATTTACTTTTTATCTTTTTCTAATGCTTTTAATGTTAAGAATTAAAATTAAAAAATCATAAACGGTAAGTTAATTAATCTTGCATCAATGAAACCGGGCTTTAATGAAATTGAAACGTACTGTCATTAATTTTACTATTTTAATAAATTATTTTTTTCATTGTTACTGGGCTCGTTCATTTGACCATTATTTGTTTTATATATCGCATATAATTTACGATTGGATTAGAATTCATTAGATAAATATAAAAATCATCACGAGCTGCGTCCTTTTTGCAAATTTATCTCACAAAACAGTTTTTGCAAGGGATTTCTGGGGATGTCCTTAGAACGTAAATCGTCCTCTGGATGTTTTTGGAACGTTCTAGAGAATTTTGCTGTAAGGGATGTTTTTTTTTTAGAAAAGTTTAAATTTTTTATTTAAAGATATGTGATTTTAGTCTTTAAAAACAAAAATTAATTTTGAAAATGAAAACATTTTATTCAATTAAATGAGACTAAAAAAATAAAATTGCGATTACATTAGATCAAAATAAAATTTGCATCATAAGTAATATACTCAATTTCTTCTTGATTATGCGTTGAAAAACATTTAATTTCTCTTAAGGACGCAGACAATGATTAATCCACAAAATGCAAGAATTTTATTCGATTAAATTGAAATTACTTGAAATGACGATTGATCTTATCAAAATAGAGCAATATAGTTCACGCGCCATTACAGTTTTATTCACGATCGACCTTATTGTCCCGATATCGCGTTTCTCTTTATATACCTTCGGGAACTTTATTCCGGCGTTGCAGTCGGAAATTAATTTTGCAGACGCAAAGATTTGGCTTGATTAGATCGAAATATGGAATATGGCACAGCTCGCATGCCATTACAGTTTAATCTGCGACCGATCTTTTCGCATCGGCGTTACGAGTACGTCTTTAAGCACCTTATAAAATACGATCTCGAGCATCAATATTCACTTACCGGCTTACATACTTCAGATATATTCTTCCGCTTTGTCATCGTGAAAGATGTACCAAGTTTCTCCTTCGCGGAAGATAGGCAAGCAAAAAAAAAGAGAAAGACGGTTAAAATGTCAACCAGTCGTTTAACAATTGACGAGGATACGCAATAAGGATACGGAAAAGAAGAAGAGCCAGGATGAAACGGCTGTAATACGTCATGCAACGTGCTCAGCACATAGAATCAATGTGAGAGAACTGAGAGACAGAACCTTATCCAATCAACTCCAATGCACTTTTAAAGTGCAACTCGTATACAATTGTAGCTTTATAAATTCACAATCAAAAGCTTGTTTCGTAAATTTTGAAAAAATAGAAGTATACAGACAAAATTAAAATTACATTTTTAAAATGTTTATTTGTTTCTCTTTTTACGCATTATGCTTGAAACAGTAATTTCCAACGAAATTATTAATTTTTATTTAAGATCTTTGTTTTGTTACAAATGATTGATAC